ACGAAGGCGAATGAGAGGTGTGGAAAAGAGGATGGAGAGATTGTTGAAATATCTGCAATGGTGAATCAAAAAGAAGAGGGGATGATGGATACGCTGAAGGAATATGAAAATGGTGGTGGCACAGATCGGGAGACTATGATAGAGACAAAGGAGATGGGCTCGGAAGCTTTGGTGGGGGTCACAAAACAGGGAACAAAGAAGAAACTCACCAAGACTTCCTCGCAGGTTTTGGTAGGCACCACAAAGAAACGGTTGGTGCAAGCTCTAATCTCTCCTCGGAAAAAACAGGCAGCAAAAACTTCGGATCGGAACAAGGAAGGAACAGGTTTAGGCGGCTCAAAGGGTTCATCAGACCCGATAATAGATCCAAAACCATGACCTATTTGATTTATGCGGATTCTCAGCTGGAATTGCCAAGGCGTAGGGAGCCATTGGACAATAAGTTATCTTCGGGAGGTGTGGAAGAGACACAGACCTGAATTCTTGTTTCTTTCTGAAACCAAACAAGATTTTTCGTTTTTACAAAAATTTCAATTTCATTTTGGTTATAATAAATTGTACACGGTGGAGCCGTGCGGTGCAAGTGGTGGACTTGCTTTATTTTATAATTCTGCTTTTGATGTTACTATTTTATTTTCGAATAATAGAATTATTGATATCGAAGCAAATGTTCTGGGAAGACAAGTATTTATATCTTTTATTTATGGAGATCCGGTTCCAAAATTGCAGGACCAAGTTTGGGAAAGACTAACAAGAATAAGCCTTAATCGGAATGACCATTGGTTTATTATTGATGATTTAAACGAATTAACGGGTAATCATGAAAAAGAAGGAGGTACTCTAAGGCATGCTTCAACTTTTGTATCCTTTAATCTCATGATTCGGGACTGTGGATTCTTGGAATTTCCATGTTTGGGAAATACTATGTCTTGGAAAGGACGGCAGAATTCAAAAGTGGTGAGGTGTAAACTTGATCGGGCTCTAGCAAATGCAGATTGGCATGAGATTTTCCCCCAATCTGTAGTCGAGTATTTGGCAATGATTGGTTCGGATCATAGACCAATAGTCGCTACAATTGTGGATAAAATTCCAAGGAAAAAATCACAGTTTCGATTTGATAAAAGATGGTTAGGACAAGAAGGCCTAATGGAATCTATTTTTAGAGGTTGGGATTTAGGTAATGGACGAGAAGTGAAGTTTGTAGATAAAATACGTAATTGCCGGAGGGAAATATCCAGATGGAGGAAAACCTCCTTACCATATGGACAGGAAAAAATTAATGAGTTAAAACGGGCTTTAGACGAGATCCAGACGGATGATACAAGTACGGAGGAGGAGTTATTAGAGATCACAAAAAAGTTAAAGGAAGCATATAGGGATGAAGAATTATTCTGGCAACAAAAAAGCCGTACCCACTGGGCGAGGGATAGAGACAAGAATACAAAATTCTATCATGCATTAGTAAAACAAAGGAGAGCGCGGAACCGAATTATTGGCTTACATAACACAGCAGATGCATGGGTTACTGCCGAAAAAGAGATACAACAAGTGGCGGAAAAATATTTTGACGACATTTTTACGTCGACATCGCCGACAGAGTTTGAGGAAGCACTAGGAGAGATAAAACCTTTAATTTCGGAAACCAATAATAAGATGCTCACGGCCAGGGCTACTGAGGAGGAAGTACGGAAGGCTCTCTTCATGATGCATCCTGAAAAAGCTCTGGGACCAGACGGCATGACTGCACTTTTCTACCAACGCTCGTGGCAAATCATCAAGGCAGATATAGTAGGATTAGTTAACGGTTTTCTGGACACAGGGAGCTTCGATGAGAGATTGAACATGACAAATATTTGTCTAATACCAAAAACGGAAAGATCCACCAGGATGACAGAATTACGCCCCATCAGCCTATGTAACGTGGGCTATAAGATAATTTCCAAAGTATTATGTCAAAGGTTAAAAAACTATTACCGGACCTGATATCGGAAACACAATCAGCCTTTGTGGCAGGACGGTTGATTTCGGATAATATCCTAATTGCCCAGGAGATGTTTCACGGACTGAGGACCAACAAGTCCTGCAAAAACAAATTTGTTGCAGTTAAGACCGATATGAGTAAAGCTTATGATAGAGTTGAATAGAGCTTTATTGAGAATTTGTTGAGACGTTTTGGCTTTGCGGAAAAATGGATAGTTTGGATGATGAGATGTATAACTTCGGTTCGATATAAAGTCCTCTTGAATGGACAACCAAAGGGACAAATCATTCCTGGCAGAGGATTACGTCAAGGGGACCCCTTATCACCATATTTATTTATATTATGCACGGAGGCCTTAATTTCAAATATAAGGAAAGCGGAAGAGGAAAAATTACTGACGGGTCTAAAGATCGCAAGGGCGAGCCCACCGATTACACATTTACTTTTTGCGGATGATAGTTTATTCTTTTGAAAAGCAAAAAAGGAAGAGATTCAGAAGATTCTATCTATATTGTTTACGTAAGAAAGAGCATCAGGCCAACAAATTAATTTTGATAAATCATCTCTTGTATTTGGGCATACGGTTTCTGAGGAGGTACAAAATGAGTTGAAACAACTATTAGGTATTTCGAAGATTGGAGGAAATGGATCCTATTTGGGTATCCCGGAAAGTCTAGATGGGGCCAAAAGTAGAGTCTTTAATTTTGTAGCGGAAAGACAGCATGATCGGATTAATGGCTGGACCTCGCGGTTATTATCAAAAGGTGGAAAAGAAGTCTTACTTAAGTCAGTGGCATCGGCAATGCCTACCTTTGTAATGTCATGCTTTTGTTTACCCAAGTCTACGACGGCAAAGTTGACAAGTGCAGCGGCGAGATATTGGTGGTCCTCTGATGGGCACAATAGAGGAATGCATTGGATCGCATGGAACAAGATGTGCAGAGGCAAGACAGAAGGAGGAATTGGATTCCGAAATGTGGAGGATTTTAACACAGCACTATTGGCAAAACAATTATGGCGTTTATTAGATAAACCAAATTCATTGTTTGCATGAGTTTTTAAGGGACGATACTTTCGGAGTTCTTCCCCTTTTGAACCTATCCGCTCATACTCGCCATCCTATGGCTGGCGGAGTATAATATCGGCTAGATCTCTGGTTAATAAAGGGCTAATCAAAAGAGTTGGTTCGGGCTGTTCCATTTCGGTATGGAATGACCTCTGGATACCAGACTCTCGCCCGAGATCAGCCACTTGTAAGGGTTTTAATTATTATCCGAATCTAATGGTAAATCACCTGATTGATCCAATGACAAATACTTGGAATATGGGTTTGCTAAATGCAATTATTGAACCTGCGGATGTGGAAATTATTCGAGGAATACCTATTAGCAGGACCTACAGCCAGGATTCACTAGGCTGGCATTTTACCAAATCTGGTAGATATACGGTTAAATCGGGATATCACATTGAGCAACAATACAAGGACTGCCCGCGAAATGATATTTACGGCCCAGATGTTAAAGTTCTACAGGCTCACACATGGAAATTAGAGTGTGCACCGAAATTAAGATACTTTATTTGGCAGGCTATATCTGGATGTCTATCAGTGTCGGCTAGATTACGGACACGTGGAATAAAATGTGACACTCAATGCGCACGATGTGGAGCAGAGGAAGAAACTATTAACCATGTTCTATTTGAATGCCCCCCTGCCCTGCAGACTTGGGCTATGTCTCAGATACCGACCCCTCCGGGCGTTTTTCCAATGACTTTGGTTTTCTCAAATTTCGACCATTTGTTCTGGAGATTGCCAAAGAATTCTAACAATTCTCAATTCCATGGATTGCGTGGTATATATGGAAAGCAAGAAATGAGAAAGTTTATTCGAATATCGATGTGGACCCAAGGATTACTTTAAAAAAGGCAGAAACTGAGGCGGTACTATGGACAGAGGCTCAAACGAATGAGCAAGATTTAGGGATACAAGACAATAGGAACATTTTGATGTCACAACCAATGATATATGAGGGTTGGTGGTGTTTTATTGATGCCTCTTGGAAGGCAACAGATTTATCATCGGGATTGGGATGGTATTATTTCCAGGACAGGGTTAAGGACAGAATAATGGGAGCACGAAATGTCAGACGGAGTCTATCACCTCTGCATGCAGAGATGGAAGCCCTAATTTGGGCCATGCTTTGCATGATCGAGAATCAGAAGACAGAGGTCGCTTTTGCAACAGACTGTTCGGATTTGGTGCAGATGGTGTCTGAATCCGCCGAATGGCCAGCTTTTGCTATACACTTGGAGGAAATCGTGAAGATCAAGGAGAGGTTTAGTTTCTTTTCACTATCACACATTCCACGAGCGAAGAATATGGAGGCAGATAACCTAGCAAGAAGTGCTCGGATCTATCCTCGTGATGTTAATTATGTAAACTCGGTATCTCCAGTTTGGTCTGTCAAATCGTTATAGGTATCTAGGCTGTTGACAAAAAAAAAAAACAAATGACATGCACAAACTAACTTAATTTATGTTATAACAAGATTATTGTCGATTTCTAATGAACATATTTGTTTTACATGTTAGCTAAAGATCTGAAGTTAAAGTTTGATATTTTGCTCAAGGTCTTACTTATAACAAAGGAAAATACATTGCCATATGATCAAAACTCAAGAGAGCAAATTGCAAAATAATAAACTGGACACATCTAAATATTTATAAATTTATAATATATTAAAAATATGTTCTGTTTTGAGAAACAATGACAGAAACTTTCATCACTTAAAAAAAAAAACTCAGCAAAAAAAATGAAACATAAAATTAAGAAAAGGAAATGGGTTAATTAAATATATAATTTTTAAGGACCATGCTTCTCCATATGGTAAAAAGACCTCGGCACACATTTGTTTTTGTTCATGTTATCAGTGCCCGAAGATCCTCTGCTTCCACTAGTGCTAGCATTATGATTCATGTTCATAGTATTGTTGCAGCTCTGGTTCTGTGTGTCTTGATTGATTCAGTAATTGTTATAATTATTTACATGACCACCAATCGGTTGGTTTATCAAAGGATTACCAATCAAAGCATTGGATTCAACATCACAATAATCTTGGTAAAACGATTCATCAGAGAAATCTAAACAATCCAATGGTGGAAAACTTTGAACTGGAAGCACCATATCACCATGAATTTCAGGTAAAGAACTGAAATGGTTCCCAGCAGGAACAACAGTAGAAGAAGAAGAATCAGAAGTTCCAGTAAACTCATTGGTTTCTTGAACATGTAAGAAAGGTTGATGGTGATTAACTTGTTGGATCTCAACAGAAACTACCTGAGAAACAGAAGGTTGATTTATCTTTGGACGCTTGGTTTTACGGCCACTTCCACCAATCGGTATGTCCCTTAGCGTTCCACCATGAGTCCAGTGTCGGTGACAGTTTTTGCAGAAGTAGCGCGGTTGAGACACCCTATAGTTGTTGTAATAACTGAACTTGGTGTTGTCTGAGTTACACCTTGGAAAAACACGTCGTGGAGGCTTCTCTTCATTCACTTGATTGTTTCCTATCACAAAAATATTTGATTTCTCCATTTTTCTAGAAAGCTATTTAATTGTTTTTTTGGTTTTTTATGCTGTGAGGGTATCTTCTTATATAGGCTCTTGGGAAGCAGAAATTAAAGAAGAAATAAGTTTTGGGTTCTAGAAAATGATTTTATGAACAAAATGTGTCAAAGATTGTGTATTAATAAAATTTAAAAATCAATCTTCACACTATAAATTTTGGGCTAAGCTTAATCAACAACCAAGTCTTTTTTACTCTATTGGATGTATATGCAAAATGGAGAATTAAGAAGATACGATTAAATGAGCCAACTCTTATAATAAGAAACAAAATCTAGGGATAGGTTAGAATATAAGACCAATTTTAGGCAAAAAAATTATAAATTGTATTTGTTTTACTATAAAAAAAAGAGTATAAGAAAATACGTGTGTACGTATGATAAAATTTTATTATAAATTTTATTTTTTATGAGATTTGTCTATAATCTAAACTGCTACAAATGGATAGAGCTGAAAGTGTGTAGTAGATTATAATACACAATATTAAAAAACTATATACTCAACCACAATAGGAAATAACATATTTTTCGAAATAGACAAAACACATAAATAGTTTTAGAAAAATTAGAGATTGAGTAGTGATTCATTAAGAGAGAGATAATGTGGTGAGCACATGTGTTTCATATTTAAAACAGATACCAATAATGAGAAGCATTACTACAAATGTATTTGTCGATACCAAAACCATATCAAAAAGAGAAGAGACTCAACCAAAACAAAAAAAAAAAAAACTTTTTCCAAATTCTTATTTTATTTAAAAAAATTTCTCTTAAGTTTAGTTATCCTTTTCAACTAATTTCTACTTTCAAATTCAACCAGCATTTGATGTAAAAAAGTTTTATTTTTTAATATATTTTATATTCAATTCAAAAACAAAAACTATTTAAAACGGAAAAAACATCAAGATAAACAATTTTATGCAGATTTATAGTAACTCATTTTGAATAAAGAAGAAAACATGTATATGTGTGTTAGTAGATATGTTCACAATCGTTTTTTGTGTCACGTATGAGAAATGTGTAACAGTATAACTATGTTGAAGGTTTATAGCGGTGAAAGATGGTGCGTGAGTATATCATACTAGTAATCCCAAGAGAGCAAGAAACTCATATAGGAAAGTTTCTATATCAAGTAACCATTTTTCCATAAATCTTTTTTAAAGGATTTAATCAATTTTTCTCCTAGTCACGATAGATCTCATAGAGTGTTTAAACTTTAATGTAGAGAGGGAATAACAGAAACTTAAATTTAAAAGTCGTTTAGAAAATATAACAAGAGGCAAAAAAAGAGAGTCTATACTTGAAAAAGGTTTGCGCCAGAATCTAACAATTGTTCGTTTACCAAACTAGACTAAAATAGTTTACAAATTTAAAGCTCAAACGGTCAATAACTATTTCTAACCGATAATAAGTTGTTTACTGGTAAGATGGGATTAAAAAAAAAGCAATATTGTAGAAATAAAAAAACATTAGCTGAACCACACACTATGAAAAATAATTTATGACCTTAGAATAACAAATCTTTGACAGTCGACCAAATCTAAGATTGATGAAAGAAAGAGAGACTTGACATTCTAGACATACCATAGATTTATCTTATATATTCACTAATGCAGCTCACATACATCAAAGCAAGTGTAGTTTCAAAACAGAGTACTTACTGAAAACAGAGCAATACTTTAAGAGATAAAACACTTGAAACTCGAAGAACACATAAACAGACGTAATCAAAACTTAGTTCTATGTACAAGTTATATTTGATAGCCGTAGATTTATCATATTTACATGCTAACACATCTCATATTAATAATGTTCATCTGTTATTTATAATTGTTAAACCAAATTATCAAATGTATAATTGTGGTTGTTCAATTTTCTTTTAATTATGAAACTTATTTTTTGTTTAACCATTTGTTTCATTCACTTAAACTTCACGAGTACAATAAGAGGGAATGTTACATCCTCGATGATAACTAGCATACAAAATAGAAGAGATTAAACTTAAAAGAGATAGAGATTGATAGATTGAACGAATTAGAGGCCAAGCTCGAATGTGCCAGTTGAAACTTCATGGCAAAGCTGGAGTGTCTAAGATTAGTCACTTTACAATGTGACGTAAAAGAACGTCTCTCATAGAGAGGAAACATGGCAGTAAAATTCTCTCCCTACCCCCTCCCCAAAAGAGGAAGGTGAAAACGATTTCTCCCAACTGGAGGAAGTTGATCCAAATAGCTTATCCCTAGAGGGATTTATTGGAATTGGTCTCTCTGTCGTAATGGAGGAAGGTACCTGAAAGTAAAAGCCGGAGCTAGATTTGTCAAATGCTGATGAACTTCTTTTTACTGGGCCTTTTAACAAGAAATAAACCATTATTGTTTGCAACTATGGGCTAAACACCATAAAGTTCCAATTGGGTCAGGCCCACGATGAAGACCAACTTGGGAAATGAAGTCAAGACGCCGTGACAACGTAATGGTAGGGACCGTTCGGCAGTAGCACACCGGAATTTTCAAACATAGCAGGGAAAAAGGAGGTGGGAGAGGCTCGGTCCTCTAAATTTTCGCCGTTGAGGCAACACTTGCAGTCAGAGCAGCGTATGTGGCCGTTTGATGACGAAATATTGAAAGTTCTATGTGTAAAAGGGAAGTTATGGCAGTAGAGGAGGAGAGTCGGCTGTTAAAACGGCCGGTGAGATATGTCTTTAAAACATTAGATCTGGCCATAAGAAAATTTGCTGATTGAGTTTCTGCTTTTTTTTATTTAATGAAGGTTATAGTTGTCTGTATGAAAGAAAGAGGGTTCTATTAGAAAATATTTAGTTTTTTGGAGTTATTTTAGAGAATTGTCCATTAAAAAAAAAAATTAGATAAATAAAAAAAATAATATGTGATCAAAGGATTGTAAAGAAATACCAACCTATCATTAAATTAAAAATGAGTTTCAAGAGATTAAAGATCGCAATAAAATTAAAGACAGCTAAATTTTGTGAATAAAATAGATATAAGTTGCTTCATATTTAAACCATATAAGAAATTTTTTAAATTTTTATAGTAGTTTAATAATCTATTTTTCATTTTTAAATAAATAGTCATAATGCATAAAAATTACCACGATAAAATACATAATTTAAATGTTCTATATCTTTACAAATCATTATAATTTTATAATTACACTGTCATCACTTATCACACCATCATCTATTTCTCTATTTTGTATCGCTATAAGAAATTTGATAATAATGTCAGAAGTTTGATTGTTATAAACTGGGACCAAATAATAATTTTTTCATTTTTAGTACATACAAAAATAACAACAAACATCAAATTCACATATTTATAATGAGATAAGAATGCTAAATTTTATTTATTTGGCAATCTGTAAACGTTTTACTAACTATTTTGTTAAATTAATAAATGTTGATCAAAATCTTTAAAGCGAGTTAAAAAAAAAAAATGATCTAAACACATAAAAGTAAGTTTTTAAAAAAAAAATAGAATAACAAAAAATAAATCACAATATAGTTTTAACAGGTAGACAATGAAACAAATACATAAAAAGTATAGACAAGTAGACTGATGATTATGGATCTTAGTTAGAGAGGTCAATTCGATAAATCAGATAATAAAACTCTTATTAATAATTGAGTATGAAATTACAAGAGAGGTTAGGTTGGAAGATATTAGACCAACTAATTTGATTACAAAAAACTAGGATATCTCTCTTTTGTAAGGGAGGTTTGCACAGTGTCATCTAATTTCTATTTATAGAGTTGGTAAATGACATTACTTTCTAGAGCTTCTTTTCGTTCCACCAGCTTTTGTTAATGGGCTGAGATTTGTAATAGATTTTACCAGACTGAATCCATTTTTCAGACATAAACCATCGTTAACCAAAATTATTTGAGTCGATTTTAGTTTATACCGTGTTAAACTGGGGTGCAAAGTATACCATTAAAGTGATTGTTTAATAAACAAGCACCAGATGTCACTCATGTAAATTGCATAGGACCGATATAAATAAAAAAAATAAACAAGGACCAAATGTCACGCATCTAATTATCTAAATATGTATGCATAGGAACAATATAAATGAAAACCTGTTTATTTGGATTTCTGGACCCATAGGGCCCATAAGAGAGAACGAAAGGCTAACCCAAAGGTCAATAGATAAACCAGAGAGAAGAAAGAGTAGAGAGAGAGATAGAAAGAGCCAAACAGAAATTATTCGGGATTAGGGTTAATCTCTCTCCCAAACTCCGCCCAATCTCCACCTCTCTCCGCCGCGCACAATCATAACCGTTACCTATATATACACACACTCTGTTATTCGTCTCTTCTCTCTCTTTCTCTTCTGATTCTCACTCTCAAAGTCTTCGTCTTTCTGAATCTTCGTTTAGGGTTTTGGCTTTCGACTCAATAGGAAAACGAAATGAGTGGTCAAATGAGTAGCAATGACCGAACGAGAACGTATTGGACCCAAACGATGGAGCGTTTCTTCATAGATCTAATGATTGAGCATCTGCACAGAGGAAACAGAACAGGGCACACTTTCAACAAGCAGGCGTGGAACGAGATGCTCGTCGTCTTCAATTCCAAGTTCGGGTCACAGTACGACAAAGACGTGTTGAAAAGCCGGTACACGAATCTCTGGAAGCAGTACAACGATGTGAAGAGCCTTCTTGATCATGGTGGTTTCTCTTGGGACCAGACTAATCAAATGGTGCTCGCAGATGAGAGCTTGTGGAGTTCTTATCTCAAGGTTTCCAAAAAGCTATGGACTTTTGCTGAAATTTGATGTTTTGTTGAGTTTTAATTGTGTGGGGGTTGTGATTTGACAGGCTCATCCTGAGGCTCGTGTGTACAAGACGAAACCGGTGTTGAATTTCAATGATTTGTGCTTAATCTATGGGTATACGGTTGCTGATGGGAGATACAGTAGGTCAAGTCATGATTTAGAGTCTGAGGACGAGATCAATGGAGTCAACATTGGTGTGTTCTTGCTCTTCTTAGTTTGGTTACACTGTTTTTTCTTTTTATGGTAAGATGAGTGATTTTATGTATGCTTACACTTGGTTTTGGTAGGTGAGAGTAGTAGTGGCAGTCTTGTTCTCTCGAGTAAAGAAAACTCCAAAACCAAGTGGACTCAGGTTATGGACCAATACTTCATCGAGCTTATGCTTGATCAGATCGGAAGAGGCAACAGGACTGGTAATGCTTTCAGTAAACAAGCGTGGACGGATATGCTCGGTTTGTTCAATGCTAGGTTCAGTGCTCAATATGGGAAAAGGGTTTTAAGGCACCGTTACAACAAGCTTTCGAAGTACTACAAGGATATGGAAGCTATATTGAAAGAAGATGGGTTTTCTTGGGATGAAACTCGCCAAACGATAGCTGCGAATGATACCGTTTGGGATGCTTATGTCAAGGTTTGGATTCTTAGGCTATTATTTCCACTCTCTTGAAATAAATCTTTGATCTTTCACTCCATCAGTTTTGAATTTAGATGTGGTGAGGCAGGAGCATCCGCTTGCTAGAACATATAGGGTGAGGACATTACCGAACTACAAAGATTTGGAGATAATATTTGCCTGTCCCGCTGAGCAAGGGATTCAAGCCAAAGATCTCAAAGAATTTGATTCGGCCGCTAAAATGAGTGAGTTAGATCTTACTCAGCACTAAGGTTTTGGTTTCATTATATTGGGCATAGATGCTAAAAAGTTTGAAATCTTTGCTTCTGAAGATGAGACTAAGACGAGCCAGGTGCACAATTCTGACCGCACGAGGACATTTTGGACTCCACCAATGGACCATTATCTGATTGACTTGTTAGTGGACCAAGTGAACAAAGGGAACAGAGTTGGGCAGACTTTCATAACAAGTGCTTGGAACGAAATGGTTACAGCATTCAATGCCAAATTCGGGTCTCAACACAGCAAAGACGTTTTGAAGAACCGGTACAAACACTTGAAGAGGTCGTACAACGACATAAAGTTCCTCCTCGAGCAAGACGGGTTCTCATGGGATACAAAGAGTGATATGGTTATTGCAGATGATGGCATTTGGGATACCTATATACAGGCAAGCCACATTGTTTCTCTTTTAAGATATCGGTTATGTGGTTGTCTGGTCTAAACATATGAAGTGTGTGCAGGCACATCCAGAAGCTCGATCTTATCGAGTTAAAACTATTTCAACGTATCCAAATCTTTGCTTCATCTTTGGGAAGGAAATGTCGGATGGGAGATACACACGCTTGGCTCAAGCTTTTGATCCCAGTCCTGCAGAAACTGTGCTAATGATTGGTAAGCTTGGTCTTTCAAATTCAATAGAAGATGAAGCTAACCTGATGATTGGCTTTATCTAAGTTTTATTACTGCAACGTTGCGCTCTCTATCTCCGTTGTATCATTAAGCTGTGCATGTGACACTAGCGATGCAGAAGTGATTGACAAGTGATCACATTGTATTTACATGAATCCTTCTCAGAAAATAGTAGCACAGATGATTTCAAAGATGCTTTGGGAGAAACTCAGAGTTTACAGATGGTTCATGGCAGCGACGAGAAGAATGATTACCTCTGTACCAATACTGGAGCTCCTTGTATAGAATGGACACCAGTCATGGACCGGTGTCTTATAGATCTTATGCTAGAGCAGGTGAACAGAGGAAATAAGATTGGTGAGACATTCACAGAGCAAGCTTGGGCTGACATTGCAGAATCCTTCAATGCCAAGTTCGGTCTGCAGGCTGATATGTTCATGCTGGAGAATCGTTACATACTGATGATGAAAGAGCGTGAAGACATTAACAATATACTCAGTCTCCCTGGCTTTGCTTGGGATGATGAGAAGCAGACAATTGCTGCAGAAGATGAATGTTGGGAAGCATATATTAAGGTAAGGCTCGCTAGTAACCCTCTTGAGTTTATAAGTTGTGATACTAAGTGATTAGTGTCTGATTTTGCAGGAGCATCCAGATGCAACCATATACAAAGGTAAAACGTTGGATAGTTACTGCGATTTGTGCAAGTTATACGAACTTCTCTCTCTAGAAAGCTTCAATTGTGAGAATCTCATGATCGAGTTGGAAAACTATGGCCATGAGATTGATATAGTTGATGACTTTAGCTCGTCTCCCCACAAGCAGCAGAGTAAGCGAACCAACCCAACAACTCCGTCTATGGGACTCATTGTACATAAGGCTCAGAAGACCGAGAGAGAGACGAGGAATCCTCTGTTTAACAAAGAAGATGAGGATGATGATTGCACAAAGCCCCTGCGTCAGAACGAAATTTACTCAAGAAGAGGAAATGCCATTGATGCATTGCAAGCTTTGCCCGATATGGATGATGAGTTACTGTTGGATGCTTGTGATCTTTTGGAAGACGACAGGAAAGCAAAGACGTTCTTGGCTTTGGACAGCTCGTTACGTAAGAAATGGCTAGTGAGAAAGCTTCGTCCTTCGGCTAATTGTTAAGCTAATGGGTCTCTCTCCCTTTCAACCCAAACAAGCCACCAGAATGAATCTCAAATCTCAAGGACAACAGAATAGTGTATGCAACGTTAGGTACTGTAAAATTATGTGGTGATCTTAGATACACAATCCAAAGCACAGCTTAAATTACATGTAGTAGAAGTTGTGTAACTCTGAACAGAACCATGAACATCTACATAACTCAATTGCTATGAACAATAGCTGAGAAAAGTAACTTATTGATGTCTTCTTTATCTGCCTCCTCCGTCTCTCCCACTGTATCAGAAACAAGAAGCATCATTTAAAAAAATAACTCGAACAACAGATACAAGAGCTTAATCTGCAAGAAGCATCATATAATGGCTTGTTCTGATTACCTGTTCTTGATCTAACTTGCATTGTCCACTCGTCAATGATCTGTCGAAAAACAAGAAATGAAAAAAACAAAGAGGTTATGGAAAGTGTAGTTAAGCCTCTCCGTATCAATATGCTCATGTGTATTATTTGATTTCTAAGGTATCACGAATTGGCCTAACGAAGAAATAGCACCAACCTGATTAAAATCAGCTAATGCATCATCCGCATCGCCATTTGTTGACTCTCCCAAGGATGCATTCATTTTCTGAATAAGGTTATAGTTTCCAACAAGTGTTGTCTGCGCCTTGTCAATCAAATCCTGTTATACCAAACAAAAAGATAATGTTTTTACCAAAATTTAACAATCAAACGTTCAAGAAGCCTTAGCAGATCTGACCCTTTATTGCAGAAGAAACTATCTACAACAAAATCTACACTTACTTCTATACGATCGATAAATAGTCATCCTTTTGTTCATATAACAGAGATATATACTGACTAAAGTTTAACAACTTGGAATCGCTAAGACCAAAACCTTCTTTCCACAGACTCTACTGCTAATTTACAGTCTCGTAGTTTTCATTCAGATAAAAAGAGACAATGAAGCAAGGAAGAACCTGTTTAGCGGACAATAGCTCTAGGCATTGGTCTTTGAGGACAGTCACATCTTCCTGTAACTTCTTGATTCGCTGAACCAGCTTCATCGGATTCGCCTACGACCCAGAATATATCGTTTAAATCCATAAATCAAAACCCAGAAACTCAAGCAGACATCCAAAATAGACATGCCCTTACTACGTCGAGGTTTGAATTCGAAGAATTCGAAGTGTTTATCATAGGAACTTTGAGAATTCAAGATTCGAGATTCTGAAACGGATCGAAATTGCTTACATTTTCAGGATAGATCTGCTGGAACTCCTTGTCGAGCTTGAAATGGACATCATTTAGATCATGAGAAGCTCTTGCGAAAACATTGATCAGATTATCCACAGCATGATGATGACTCATCTCCTTCTCTCTTTCCTTCCCCTTTTTTCCTCTCTCCTAGGGTTTATCATCTACTTTCCCGCTTCTTTCTCCCAAAGAAGCAAAGATGTAAACAGCACGAAGTTCTTGTTTAAATTTTAAAACAGCACGACGTGTGTGAGTTGAATTAAGCAAACCAAACCGAATTCGTCGATTCTAAACTAAACTGAGTTTATCGATACAAATAAATAATCCTACTGAATAAACTAATTCATCGAAACTTCAACTTTTGATTGTACATATATGTTTAGACAAAGTTAATTGCAATATCAACTAAAGTTAAAATCTTCGGTGAAAAAACACAATAACTATTTCTATTTTCAATCCAGATTGGATTTGAACAAAATCCAACCGAATTTCTTTAACCGAATAGAATCAAATTGACAAAATTACTTTCTATTTTAATCAGTTTTATAAACCAGAAAAGTTTGAACAGAATGGAATTGAATTCAACCGAAAAACAGAATTACACCTACCTAATTTAAAATCGTAAGGTCTTAAATAACACCACTTTTTAGACTGATTAAAAAGAAAAAAAAAATATTTATGCAGAAGATATCTTCTTTCTCTGATTATTGCATATTGCTGGTATCTCGCCGTTTTGCTATAACCCCCGTAACTAAACATTACATCAAACTAGGTGAGTAACCGCGTTACACGGGGGTGTCTTTAGAATTTTACCTTCTCATTTCTTCCATTGCTTATCCTATTAATAATGTTGATAGATCACGAGATTTCATTCGTCAAGTTTAACCTATAGCGATGCCATAAGAACAAACACTTAGTAAGCCTTTAATCTGCTTTTCCAGTATAAAGAGAAGGAAATTATAATGGCTTTCCCTCAACGTTAGTTAAAAGATCAAACAAAGTACATAAATAACTCCAGAGAAACTATATTAAGTTATAAAGTTGACGAATATAATTGCTAGAATCATGATTTTCCTGAGATGATTCACAAGTCGAAAGACATGAGGTGAAATTGAAATTTGGAAAAACAAAGTCATCAGTCTTTTAAAGATGGGACTTGTAGCAGAAAATAAATGAAAAGGGAAAACATCTGGTGGGTGGAAAAAGACCCTTAAAATTATTTTAAATTCTAGAATCTGAAGAAAATGTGTAAGTAGGCAAGAATTAACAAAGTACTTGCAAAGTAAGAACGCCTTGAAAGAGAAGAGCGAGAGTCGATAGATGTATAACAGAGAGATTCAAACCAGAATCAGGATTTTCAACTAAGCAACACAATTAGTTTTTTGTAGGATGACTTTAATAATGATCATTATAACACAAGGCTGGGCAAGAGCATTGGCCTAGTTTAGCTTTCAAGAAGTGTCTCTTTATAGCTACTAAAAATACGAATGCTAACACAAAATGCTTTACACAGATAGTACATTGGATGAAGTAATAGCATTGTACAATACCTTTTTCAGGATTTCATACGTAAATTCATGTACTTATTTAAGTTTCTATATGTAATAAACCAAAAGGTAGCGGCGGAGTGGACCAATTTCAATAGCAAGGAAAGGGCATGAGAAATTAACCTTGAAGGATGAAGAAAGAGGGATGGTGCAAACTCTTACGTGGGAAGCGAACCATATGGAGGTTGTCTGCCGTCTCCATGTGGGGTAAAAATTAGCATGAAAAACCTATACACAAAACATGGTTAAAAGAAAGTGAATTAAAAGAGAATCCAATTGCAGGTTCAGCAAGTGAGTTTGCACATATCTTGTAATAAAGAAATTCAGTTATCATATCTACTTGTTCCAACTTGCATTCATCTTAGATATGATCAGCTCGGACATGACGAGACATCCACTTGGATTTCAGAGACTCGGTTCTCCTCCGTGACGGGACATGTAAGCTTTTATTCAGCAAGCTCTGCAGCAGATCCTCTTTCGGCATGTAGATCTAAGGCAGAATTTGTAAGATCGACTGGTAGTTCTTTGTTGCAGGCACAATCTCTGATTTTGATTAGAATTCAATGTCTATCAACACTATATGACCTCTGATTATCACATGTACATACTAGTATTCCCCTGTTTCATTTCACAAACAGGCACTATATTGTTAGGCTTCATAGCAATCTTTTCAAAGAGATTTAGAAAAGACAATGTTTGCACACAACCCATCACACTGTAAGACACTCTTCCATAAACTTTAAAAAATGGCTTATATAAGTTTCTTCTCGTTCTCTCCTTTTTCATTTCATAAAATGCGACCAAAACAGAACCAAGATTTTGAGTTTTAACAGATAAAGATTTATAGAGTGTACCAGCTGGACAAGAAGTCGATTTCCCCCAGGCAGATTTGCATAGAACCACATCATAGCATAAGCGCTGCAAACCATTGGCCACCATAATTAACCTTGACTCGTCCTTACGCTTTCAAGTTCTTATTTGCTTCGACAATCTTTGTCGCAACTGTTTTCCAATGGACCAAATTCTACAACTTCAATTTGCTTATATAAGCTAATTAATATGCTTTCCCTTGATCTAAAAACTTGGAATCGTGAAAAACTGATGAATCATAGTATCATACCTTTTGAATTTCATAAGCTTCGCCGTTGTTATCCTCTTCCATCTTCGCCGAGTTTCTCTTGAAAGCCGTTCGTCGTCGAGAAAATATTTTGAAGGAGCTTAAGATTCTTAGGAAAGAATTTAAAGTGGATTAACAATTCCACCATCGATAATTAATAATCCAACAGATGCAACAGGAAAACTCAAGGTTTCTGAAAAATTGATTTTTTCGGTTTGAGAATTGCAAAGAGAAAATTGCTGAATGGGATATTTTTAAGTTTTAAATTTGAGGAATAGGATGTTTTGAAAACCGTAGAAGAAAAGGGGTGTTTTTACTGTTTGTCTTCTCACAAGGACCCTTAGGCAATTTTTATTTTCGAAATTGCCATTATCGAAGTAAAATAACTAAAAATGCCTGATTAAATCCGATTTGGTTACACAAAATTATCAATAGAAGTCCAATATCATAAACCGAAGTAAAACCAAATTAAAAACCGAAGTATAATTTATCGACACTCTAACATTTAAATTAAAAATTTAATTCGGGATCCACATATGAACGTCGTCTATCTACCATCTCCGGTAATCCAGCTCCGATAGACCTTTATAATGGCGGGGAAAGTTAAAAAATCGTTAACGTGGAACAACACCGTGCCTTCGGTGTCGAGGCGAGTGCTCCGGAGTAACTCGAAGACAGCTCCGACGGACCACTCGCCCATGCCGCCCATGCCGCCCATGCCACCGCGACGGAGTGACCGGGTTGAACATCCCATTCACTCGAGTCGTCTGAATCCACGCCGGCGGTGTAGAGCCAAAGTACAATTCGCTCCTCTTCTTCTAGAATGGCCTTCTCAGAATTCTAAAAGTAAGTTACATTTATGAACTTCGACCTTGTCTGAACTGTACTGGCGGTTTGTAATTCAAATTAAGATTGTAATTAAGATTAAGATTGAAACGGGGCGCCTGATTGGCTTGATTTATGTATTGGCGGTTATGAATTGTAGTACTTATGTCTATATATTGATTTCAAACGGATGGATTACTCTTATATCATCTAGAAACAGTTACAAAAGTTTTTATAGGAGACCATACGAATAGGGTAGTTTTCCGTTTATCCAGAATACTATATCTTTTCGTGCATTTCGGAATTGTTGTTTTCGTTCAAATACAGGTATGGAAGACGGAGAACCTTCAAATACAGGCATGGAAGATGGAGAAGCTTCAAATAACCTTTCGGAAAAACTACCAAAACGAGTCCTCGGCGATGGTTGTTACCCCGTTGGTGCTCGGTTGAACATATATTCAAAGGCCAATGTCATTGGCCTCCTTGTCGAGGCGTTAAAGGGTACTGAAGATCTTGAGAAGCTACTTCATTCCCAGTTTGGGAAGTTGTTCCATCTACCTGTTGCAAGATGTTGCAACAGCGCCAAACTTGTCCATGCCCTTCTATCACGACAACTTGTGACCACGAAGAAACACGAGATTTGGTTCCTCTTTGGTGGACAGCCTCTGAGATATTCGATACGGGAGTTCAAGGAAATCACTGGATTGAATTGCAATCCCAAACCTGATAGCACATAAGAAGAAGACGATGTGGGAAAAACAGGAATCTGGAAAGACCTGTTCGGAAGAGCGAAGGCGATGGCCGTGTTTGATGTGCTTGAAATGCTAAAGGACCCGGATCTACCCCGATGGAAACGGCTTCCATTGGCCCTAATCGTTTTTGTCGACGGTGTTCTGTTTTGCAATAGCAAAAATCTGGCCCTCACCGAGAAATACGTTGCGATGCTGACTAACTTGGATAGGTTCATGGTGTATCCATGGGGGAGGGTATCCTTTAACAAAACAGTATCTCGTTTTCAAGCTCCGAAGGCAATCACGGATGCCGAGAAAAGGGAGAATCCTGTAACACGATTGCGCCGTCAGCTTAAACAGAAAACCAGTGCATGCTATGGATTCCCTCTATCACTACAACTCATGGCCCTCCAATCTATACCAATGTTGGTTTCCAAAATTCCTCAACCTGATAACTTGAAGACATTCCTTGAAGATCCCGAAGGCTGTCAAAACGTTATCACACTGTTGCATCTTGGGGACATACATGCCGTGGAATCCGACCCTCTGGTAAATTATTTGTAATATTATATTTAGTAGTATTTGTAGTCTTATTTTGTAGTATTTGTCTTAAAAGATAAGTGTTCTGTCATTTTGGTTGGCAATTTTACAATTGTATTTTTTTGTCTTAGTTGTCTGTGAAACAGATGGTACTGGATGATGGTGACAATGACCAACAGAATGAATTGCGTTGGGTAGATGAGGTAGAGGATGCCGAAGTTGCATTCATGCAGGAACTCATGGCCGAGGGGTACAAATTCACACCTTCGGATTTTGCAGTGGCACCGGCCCCTATCGTGGATATTAGTGATGCAGAGGACGAGGTTACCAATGAACAGGAACCTGAGCCATCCACCAGACCGAAGAAGAAACAGAAAACTCATCAAACTGAAAAACGTCCCATGCAGAGGAAGAGAGGCAGGGGCAAGAACTCTTCTAATCTATCGGAAGATGAATCCCTTGATAGTGGACCCATTAAAGAGCTTAAAAGATGGATAGTACATCAGAATACTTTGCTCCTTCGTGACATTAAGACCGAGTTGGACAAGAGATTGGGCGTATACCAAGAGGACGAAGAAGATGACGATGTACACCAGTCAAAAGAAGATGGGGAACAGGATGACGAAGGACAGAATTCCAAAAAAGATGGTAAAAAACCGGATGAAGATGAAGAGGAAGCCGAAGATGGAGGTGAAGAAGGAGGTTATGATGGGGCAAAGTCTAGCGTACGCCATAATGATGGTGTACACCCCGAAGCTGGTGTACACCAGAAAGAAAGAGATGATGAAGAAGGGACATCTACTTACTACGGTGGGGACCATTATTCTCCCAGGGACCATGCGTACTTGAAGACTCCAGAAGCTCCGACGATGACCCCTGAACCGGGACAAGCCAATTCAGGAACAACTCGTCCACCTCCTTACTTCGTCATTCCGGATGAAGATCCACCTACTTGCCTCAACGAGGTGAGCTAATTGTTTAGGCAGCAGCTGACTCTATTAAGTTTCATAATGTGGGTGTATTGTGCTATGTCATTTATGACTTATTCAGGTGGATGGTGGTAGAACAAATTTGGTGTCAGGCCCCTTAGTAGTCTACAAACCTCAGACTCCTCACCCATTGAGCTACGCATATAAGAAACATGAAGCGCAGACAGATGCGCAGGATGCAGAGGTCAGACATTAAAGTTGTTCATATGATATGGATGTGTATACAGTAGTGTTTAGGGATACGCTAGGTATACGATTGATATGTTATACGCTTTATTGTTACGGTGGTTTGTAGGCTGTGGCTAATGAGGACGACTCAAATTTGGGGAAAGATTACCATAATGCGCCTGAGGATGCAAGTGATGCTTCGCAGAAGACCCCTTGTACTCCTAAACCCCCACAAGAAGTTGAGGGATCGTCTGGTGTGAGGCGAAAAAGTGGAGGAACAGGAAGAGGAGGAAGAGGAAGAGGAAGAGGTAGAGGAAAACGCGCACGTGTATGGTCGGAAAAGATTCGGGATATTTACACCGCTGATTCAAAGGTGAAAGCTCTATTTGTATCCAGATCGAAAGCTCCGTACAAACCACTCGAATGGGTTGAAGAAGACCACTTCAAGGCATTTCAGGAGTTATTATCGCGTGAAAGAAACATGTAAGTTATATCGTATTGAAAGCAATTTATCCATAAACTTTCATTCTAATCAATTACCAATTGCTCTCATTACAGCGACTTTTGCATTGTCACTGGTCATACTGTGAACAACCAATTCTTCCTACAAATTGCGAAGCCTACTGAGTGGGTTAACACGATGGTAAGTATATTGTTAGTACTTACTCAATCTTTAATTATCTGTAATATATGTTATTTATGTTTTGTTATTTGTCAGCACATGCAAGTAATAATGGCCATGCTTTGGAGATGTAGAGGTGAAATCTACTAGAAAGACAGGGTAGCATTTGTAGACACCTTGTTCATATCCATCATCGGCAACTACTACAACGATTTCATATCGCGAGACAAAAATCAGTATGACTGGGGGAAAACCATTCAGGACATTGTATTGGGAAAACCAGCAAAGTGGGCTAATCAGCGGCAGAGGCAAATGTTTCTACGGTTTGTGGACGTTGTATGCGTCCCGATGAACTGGGGGTCTGAGCATTGGGTGGGCCTTGTAATTGACTTTAAAACGGGCAACATAAAGATTTTGGACTCTTTCATCAGTCATAATGATGAAGCGGCTGTGGAGCAGTATATGGCGCCCGTGTGTCAAAGTATGCCATTTATATTGAAGCGTTATTTGGATAGCAAATTAACGGAAGGCGTACGCACCACCCCTTACACATGGAGTCGTTTGGAGGGCATATATCAGAACAAAAGATCCGGTGACTGTGGGCCATGTGCGGCCAAATTCTTAGAGATGCATGCTGCAGGGCTTGGAGTGGAGGATATGGCTTTGATAACGGACGATGCCGTTGACAGGTTAAGGGAGAAATACGCCATGGACTCATACGAAGAGTTTGTCGGGAATCCGGCTATTGCCAACGCTTAGGGCGAATGTTGAAGTTTAATGTTGAACTTGACAATGTATGGAAGGGTTATTTGTTGGATTATGTGTTTGATAATGTTTAGGATGTGGGTTTATTTGAGAATTTTTATGGTTATACTTTAGGGTTTACTTTAGTATCTATTAAATGGTGTGTCAATTATTTAGTTTGGTTACAATTTAGTTTACTTTAGTAATTGCGCATCCATACACCTAACAGCGTTTAGTTGTACACCAATATGCATGAAATGGGAGTACATCAAGAAAAATTTGTTCATAGTTCACTTTATTTTAGTACTTATTAATTGGTGTGTGAATATTGTGTTCCAGGCGAAATATGTACCTGTACACCGATATCCATTTAGGTGTACATCTACTAGGTGTACATCTACTGGGTGTACAAAGAAATTTATGGTTTATGCAATAATTTTACAAACTCATTTACAATCTTAACGGTAACCGCATTTAATGTATACGCTCAATTAGTGGGGTTTTTTTATTATTATATATATATGCAACAT